ATCTCATAGAAGTAGAGAGTAGGATATTGGTAACTAGAAGCTGGGGAGGGTGGGGGGTGGAAGGATAGAGAGAGATTGGTCAAGGGATACAAAATTTCCGCTAGAGAGGAGGAATAAGTTCTAGTGTTCTGTAGCACTGTGGGGGGACTATAGTTAACAATTTATTCCATATTACCAAATAGCTAGAAGAGAGGATTCTGAATGTCCCCAACACAAAGAAATGATCATTGTTTGAGGTAGATGGATATACTAATTACCCTGATTTGATGATTACCCATTGTGTACAAATATCAAAATATCACATACAATGCATAAATATGTACAAGTATTGTGCCAAATTAAAAATATATATATATTTTTAAAGATGACCTGTAAGGGGATCTTAACCCTTGACTTGGTGCTGTCAGCACCACACTCTCCCAAGTGAGCCCCGGGCCAGCCCTAAAAATAATTTTTAAAGAATTAAGTGCAAGTAGTCAAATCCTTTTCTTGGGGGTTTGTCACACTCGTTCTATTATGTCTCTAATAGAATCTTCAGCACTGGTTGGGAACAACTTGAGAGGCCAGGTTTTGGGATGAACTTTGATTCAAACTCCAGGTCCTTAGGTTATTAGCTCCATGTTCTTGGGCATGTCTCTAAACTACCAGAGCTGCATTTTTCTCCTCTGTAGCTCATAAGAGCACCTTACACAGTTATCAGAATAAATAGGAGGTGCTCAATAAATAGTGGCCAATATCATTACTTAAGATTTAGACTCATTCCAGGTATATATCAGTATCATCTGAGCTGCTTTTTCTACTGAAACACGTAGCTACTGAGCACCTGAAATGTGGCTAGTCTGAATTAAGATATGCTGTGTCTTAGTCCCTTTTGTGCTGCTGTGACAAAATGCCACAGACTGGATAAATTATTAACAATAGAAGCTTATTTGGCTTATGGTTCTGGAGGCTGGGAAGTCCAAGATAGAGGGGCTGCATCTGGTGAGGGTCTTCTTGCTGCTATGGCATCACAGGGCAAAAGAGAGCAAGAGAGGACTGAGTAAGCTTTTGTAACAAACTCACCCCGTAATAATGGACATCAATCCATTTCATGAGCTCAGAGCCCTCATGATCTAATCACCTCTTAAAGGTCCCACCTCTCAACACTATTGCATTGGGGATTAAGTTTCCAAAACAGGAACTTTGGGTGACAAATTCAAGAAATAGCATACTGTAAGCATAAAATACACACCTTATTTCAAAGACTTAGCAAGACAAAATGAACATAAAAATTTCATTAATTAGTTTTATATTGATTAACATGTTGAAATGATGAGATTTGGGATACATCAGGTTAAATAGAATATACAATGAACATTAACTTCATCTGTCTTTTTTTAATGTGACCACTAAAAAATTTTAAATGGCACATATGACTTGTATTTGTATTTCTCTCAGTAACACTGTTCTAAAGTTATGATTTACAAAGTAGGAATGATTAAGAAATGGGAAAAGCGTGGACTTTGCAGGGGCCTATCGGGGTGGCACCACTTTCTGTATACTATTAGAGGAGTCAGTTAACCTCTGTGTGCCTCCACTAACATCTGTAAAATGGGAGATAAAATCTACCACAAAAACATTGTTTTTGAGGCTTAAAAGAGATCGTATATGTAAAGTGCGTAGCTCAGTCCTAGGCAAGTAGGTGTTCAAACACCAACGAAGGTTATAGCGAGGAGTGTTCAGTATTCAGAAGTGAGCTAAGTAAATCCGGAAGATAAATGAACAACAAAAACCCTCATTTGTTTAGCAAGACAGACCTTTGCACACTGTTTTTCTTTTTTATTATTGAAACATAATTGATTATACATATTTGTGGGGTACAGAGTCAAAGATCAATACCTATGTACAATATATGATGATCAAATTAAGACAAGTAGTATATTCATCATTACAAAATATAATTATTCTTTGTGACCCTTTCCCAATTTCTCCCCCCCTCCCCCTTTCCCACCTCTTGGAACCACAGTTCTGTTCTCTCCTTTTGAGAGTTCAACATATTATTGTGATTTTTGTATCTTTCTTTTTTATTTTTATTTTTTTAGCTCCCACTTATGAGTGAGGACATGTGATATTTCTCTTTCTGTGACTGGCTTATTTCACTTCACATAGTTTTCTCCAAGTTCCTTCATGTTGCTGCAAATGGCAGAATTTCATTCAATCCTGCTGGACTCCTTCAAAACTTTCCTAACCTCCGAGGTGTGTTTCTGTGTTGACTTCACCCTCTGGTTAGCTAGCTTCCACAGCGGTCCCAGAACAAGAGGGAAGACCAACATTTACAAAAATACAGCAGCCTTCAGGGCCAGGCTTCCTTATATTACAGGCAGAGTGCGGTGTATTATTTAGGGAGACCCACAGGGCAGGGAAGATATCCCTGAGCTTCAACTCTTGCCTCCCAACCTGGTGGAGAGCTAGTGTTGACACGTGGGACAAGGAAGAGGAAGCTTAGAATGCCAGGTTCCCTGGACACATTGGTACCTACTTCAACCAATATGATACCTAAGTTTGAGGAGCTGCTGAGGACATGGGAGACCTTACACCAATATACTCACAGCTTGTTTTAACTTAATATATTAAAATACTTTCCCATATCAGTACACAAGGCGCTACCTCATTCTTTTTATTGGATGCATGTTATTCTATATTATTCTTGTACCAGTGTTTATTTAACCAGTTCCTGCTGATAGACATTTAGGTTATTTTCAATTTACATCAATGAGAAAAATTTCTTCAGGTAGAATTATGTGGGGGGAAAAATGGATTATGCGTTTAAAATTTTATAGATTTTGATAAATTGCTCTCTAAGACATTTGCATAAATTTACCCTTCCATCAGTGATGTATGAAGTGCCAATTCCCCCACCCCATTAACGCGACCAGATACTTCATGATATTAGTAAGTGTGGAGAAAACAGAAGGACGTAGAGAGACAGCAGCTGTCCAGCTAAGAAATGATAGGAGGGCCGGCCCATGGCTCACTTGGGAGATTGTGGTGCTGACAACACCAAGTCACGGGTTAAGATCCCCTTACTGGTCATCTTAAAAAAAAAAAAAAAGAAAGAAAGAAAGAAAGAAATGATGGGTACCTGACCTAATAGAGGAGAGGATGGAAGCCAGAGCTAGAGCGGAAGTCAGATCCCAAGGTACGGTGGTGAGTGAAGGTAATGGGTGAGAGGAATTTAGGATTCCCCAAGTTTCTGGCTTGAACAAATGGATAGATGTTTGTTCTGTTTACTGAGATGCTGAGCACTGGAAATGGAACAGGTGTAGTAAAGGGAAGACAAAGGCTTGAGCTGAAAACATATTGAGCTTGAGATGCAGGACATCCTGTTAGAGGTAACTACTGGGCCAGGAGAAAGATTCAGGGATGATGAATCATTTGTGGAAACAATGAGCATGCATGAGATCTCACAGAGATGGGTGGATGGATGGATGGATAATGGGTAGATGGGTGGAGGGATGGAGGAAGGGAGGAATGGATGGATTGACAGAAAGACAAAAACCTAGATTTCATTCCATTTAGATTGAGCTATATGAAATTCCTTTTTGTGTTGTTTTAAAATGATTAAATACTTAATTTTATGCAGGCTGAGCATTTTAGGGGGAAGCATACTGATATATGCAATTTACTCTGAAATGCATCAAAATATAGAAAGTATGGATGGATAGATAAAGGGTAGATATGTGATAAAGCAAGTGCCATAACTTAATGGTGGAAGCTAGGGGGTGGGTACAGAGGTGTTCACTGTGACATTCTTTCAACTTTGCTGCACAATGGAAATTTCCACAATAAATTTATGGGGAATGTTTTTCAGTGGTAAATATTGGCAATTTCATGTGGTTTCTCCTAATATTTATTTCTCATTTGGCCAAAAGATCCTTCCACATTCCCAATCTGTAGTATCAACAAATCTGCCTCTCAGAGTCTGCTCTGGCCTTATTCTCCCCAGATTTGGGGGCTGTGGGCTGGGGGCTGACATTTCTTCCTCCCAGAGTTCATGTTGAATTGCCCTAATGTGCTGATTACTGCACTGAGTACGCCGGTATCTGGCTTGTAATAATTATAGATTTCCTCTGCGATTTGATCCCATTGGTTGCCCTGGCAACAGAGTAATAGCTCAACTGAAGCGCTGTCTTGGTGATTTAGAACCGACATGTCTCTCTTGCAGCCTCCGGTCCGGGTGCCCCCACCCCCTTGCCATCGTCATGGCAACTGATGAGCAGCACATGACCAAAAGCTCTGTGTCCCCCACTCCTCCCCCCCATCTTGTGATCATCCCCACTTCCTCTTCTGGACCCCCCCCCCCCCCCATGGGCATTGACTCCAGCTTGGGCTATAATGGGAGGGGCTAGAGTAATTGATCCCCCCAGGTCCCTCCTCTGTCCCCAGAGGTCTTGGAGATGACTTGGTGCCCTCGGACTCCCCTTCATTGCTGTGGCTGGATCTGCTGCAGGAGCAGAGCCCTGGGAAGCCACTGAGGAATCCGAAGCCTTGGATCTCTGCCTTGTCCCTTCAGGGGCTCCTGAGCCTGTTAAAAGAAAAATCTAGGAAGAGGACCCTGGAAGGGGAAAGGGAGGGAAATAGCCTACTTCAGAGAGTCCAAGATGATGTGGCGCATCTTTCTGACTTAATCCGAGCTGGGCTTAAATCATCTTTTTTTAAAAAATCTATGTTCTATTTTTCCTCTCTCTTTCTCTCTCTTTTTTTTCTGTCCCCGTTTCTCTTTGTTTCTGTGCTAATCTTTTCTTTCTGTTTCTGTCTGAAAACCCCTCTTTTCTGAATCCATCTTTCAGTCTCTCGCGCCCTCTCCTTCCTCCTCCGTCGCCTTCGCTGCATCCCTCTTCCTCACGCACTTGCTGGGTACCTACTGAGAACATCCTTTCCCCAAACCTGCTTTGCCTCTGAGGAGCCCTTTACTCTCTCCTGTACCTGAGCCCATGTTCTGGGGACTGCCTGGAAGTCTAGAGCACCCTCCCGAGGGGGGAGCTGATATCCGGCGGCTCCTCTTAGGGCGAACCCAGCCAGCGGCATCCCAGGGACTCTGCAGAATGACCTAGAGGAGGTGTTTTAAGCAGGCGAGCTGGGCTTGCTGCAGGACCCTGACTACCAGGCACTGTGAGTGCAGGCGTGTGTGTGCATTCGTGTGTGTATCTGCAGTCATGTGGCGGCATGTCTCAGTGTGGTGTTGGGGCGTGCAACTGTGTGTGTGCGTGCGTGTCCATCTGTGCAGATGCACCTGTGTGTGGCTTTCTGTGTGAAGGACACACGATTGTACACGACAGATTTTTCAAGGACGTTTTGTGACAAGAACACAGCAGGATGAGCCCCTTTAATGTGGCAACAAAATAAAGAGCGATAGATATAAAAACTATAGATAAGGAACTTGCTTTTGCTTTTATCGGTAGTATTGTAGAACCACTGTGGTAGTATTGTAGAACCACTGTCTACAAATGTCTGCCTTCTGGTCCCAGGAAATGAAGTGAGGGTCACCTTGAGAAAGCATTTTTGCTCAAGCCCCAAAATAAATCCATTCCTTCTAGTCTAAGGGTTAAAACAGCGTGCCCATGCACACACACGCACATGCACTGCTTTCTCTTTGAAACTCGGAGGAATGGAAGCCCAGGAAGCACTGTCAGTAGGCATTTTTTTTTCTTCCCTCCACAATATAGAAGGAATTTGCAGTGGAAATCTCTCACCAGACAACCTGAATGGCTCATGCCAAGAGGGGGTGTGAAGAGGTGTCGGATAGCAGCGTCCAGGCCCCAAGAGGCAGCCAGAGAAAGCAATTTTAGAAAACAGGATTTCATGTGTAGGGCAAGATGTAGGGATCCTGACGACTAGCTGCTTAAGATCCTGCAGTCAGTGTGTGCGAGCTGGCAGCCAGGCCACCCCTGCAAGGGAATCCTTTGTGCTTTGCCCATCCCTGAATATTTGGGAGACTTGGCAGCAAGTCACTCTGGGCGAATGCTGACTGTGGAGTAGGCGCTGCCCCCAGCACCCACAGAGCCTGAGACAAGGACCAGCCTAGGGAAGTTTCTGCTCTGAGCAGAAACGGACCTGATCACATGGTACTCTATGCTCAGTGGCTTTACTGCTATTTGCATTTCCTCCAAGATGCGACCCTCTTTCCCTTGCCATGGCCTCTGTCTGCCGTGGCCACTTTTGTCTGCCTGCAAAAGCTCTAATCATCTTTAAACATCTCTGTCACTGCTTCCTGAAAATCTTCAACTTCCACCCAAGTACAGCTTAATGCTATATGCCGTCCTCTACCTGCCCAGTTCTGACCTTGCACCTCTGGTGTCCTGTGTCCTACTGACCCCTTTCCCCACATTTGTCCAGGAGCCACAGTTTATTTTGCAAGGACTCGAAAAAAATATTAAGGCAAAATACATGCAAAGCAACTGGCTCTTTAAATGTCAGTTTCTTAAAAGGCAAAACAGCTGAGAAACGGTTCCAGGTTAAAAGAGATTAAAGAGCCATGCACCCAAATACAGTGTGTGATCCCGGGGTAAAGCCTCGATCAGGGGAACAAAAAACAGCCACAAAAGACATTTTGGGGACAAGTGAGGAAATCTGGATATAGACTATATTTTAGATAATAGCATTTTATCAATGATACATTTCCTGAGAGTGAAATGCTTTGCATATCAAATAATTTGTGCTGAGGTTATGTAGGAGAATGTCCTTGTTCTTCAAAAATACAGATTAAAGGATTTGGGGATAAAATATCTCAGTGTCTGCAACTAACTCAAATGATTCAGAAGCTAGATGGATGATTGATAGATAGATAGAAATATGTATTATTTGATAGATAATATCTATTATTTGATAGATACATAGATAATATGTATCATTTGATAGATCAATGGAAAATATATATTATTAGATAGCATGGGTGCAAGTGTGGCAAAGTGTTAATTGGTGGTTCTAGGATTACGGGTGCTTGTGAGCACTGCTTGTAACTTTTCTGCAGGTTTGAAAATTTTTGAGTGGCCAATGCATGCTGGGCACTCTGCCTCGCTTTGTACGTAGATTATCTCATTTAATCCTCAGAGCAGCATGGGGATGGGGAGCTGTATCATACCCATTTTCCAGTTAAGAAAACAAAGGAAGAGCCAGATTCGAGCCCAGGCCAAAACCCACATTATACCTCCCACCCCTGTTATTGTGAAACTACTAAAGATAACTCAACAGTCTTGTACCTCTACAAGAAGCACTTCTGGTTTGAGTCTGAGTGACTTTGACTCTTTCCAGGGCTGTAGAGGTTTAAAGTGCTGGATCTAGAGCCAGACTGGGTTTGTATACTGGCTTAGCTACTTAACAGCTGTGTGAGGTTGGGCAAGTCACTTAACCTCTCTGTGCTTTTGTGGGGTTTTTATTTTTTTATTTTTTGGTAGGCGTGGATAATAAAAGTATCTACTCCAGAGGATTGTTCCGAAAATTAAGGGTGTTATTACACGTAAAGAACTTAGAACAGGGTTTGCTGTTGCTGCTACTGCTATAACTATTGCTGTTACTATTATATCTGTTGATGTTATTGTAATCCTGGCACCCCCTGCCTTGGCCAGTGACATATAAACATGGAGGGTCTTTCTCTTCTGCACCCAGGGCTGGCTTCATGGGTTTGTGACTTCACAGGGCCCCCCTCATTCAGAAGAGCCCCACTCTTAGTTTATTGCTCTGTTGTCGTTGGCTTGAAATTCTTAATCTTTTCTTGACAAAGGGTCTCGAATATTCATTTTTTGCTTCAGGTGTCATGAATCATGTAGCTAGTCCTGTCTACACTCTGTTTTTATTGGATCCCACTGAGAGTAGCCACTTAGACGAAACCACTTGTTCCTGCCTGATGGCTTCATGCTGGCATCCCCCAGATCAGATTGCATGTTGCCTTATCCTGGCTCAGTACATTAGCCCATGTGGTGCAGTACGGTAGCCTCTTGTCCCATCTGGCTATTGAGCACTTGAGATGTGGCCAGTCCAAGTTGACACGTGCTGTGAGTGTGAAATTCACACCACATTTTGAAGACATAGTCCCGGGGTGGGGCGGGGGGGAGTTAAATATCTCATTAATAATTACATTATTATTATAATTATATTGACTGTGTGTTGAAATCATATTTTTAGATAACATCTGGTTAAATAAGATTTAACTCTTTTTACTTTTCTTCACATGGCGACTAGAAAATTTTCAGTTACCTATGTGGCTCACATTTGAGGCTTGCATTATATTTCTGATGGGTAACACTGCTTTAGATCAAACTTCCTGTGACTTCATCCAAACTGAACTAGGCCAGTAGGTGACAGCCCAGTAGATCAATTTCCAAGTTACTTTAACCACACTCCAGCCCTGGTGCTCTAGCTTAGACCCAGGTCTCCCAAACAATCCATTAGGCACCTCTCCCTAGGGGCAGGGGTGTCGTTGCTGCTCGCAGCCTTCTTTTCTCTTCCTTTCCTTCTTGAGATGCTCTTCCCCTGAAAGAAACTGATTTTTATACCCAGAAAGTTTGTTAAGTAGCCTAAAGATGTTAGCAAGGCAGTGCAGTGAGTAGAAAGAACACCAATGTTGGAATCAGTAGAACTAACTTAGAATTAAATTAAAATCTCAAGATACCAGTTCTCCGTGGAGTGAGCTTGGGCATGTTACTTAACTTCTCTGTGCGGGGAAGCAGAACAGCACTGGCTTTAGAGAAGTACGGACCTGGGTTTGAAGCCCAGTTCTGCCAATGAAAAGCTGTGTGATACAGAACAAGTCACTTACCTTCTCTGAATTTCAGTCTCATCCATGCAATAGGGCTGATGATGCCTAACGTGTAGACTATTGCAAGGATGGAATAAAGAGAAGCAGAGCAAATGCCTAACCCAGCAAACCAGCACGTGGCTGGTGTGCCCTTAATCAATGCATTCTTAGCGGTATCAATACTGTCACCAAGAGGGAGAACACTGACTTATGGGTAAGCAAAAAATCTTACTCTTCACAATTGAAGTACAGATATACAATACAATACCTAGACAGATAGACAGTACATCTATGGAATTAAAATTTTGTTGGATATTTGTTTAAAAAAGAATCCTTAGAGGGAGTAATAACAAAAAAAAGGTTGAGAAACATTGTATTAATCTGATACAAGATTGAGAGACAGCTTTTCAGTTCTGATTTCTGTGGTTATCGTAATGTAGGGCTGGAACTCCATTACTGAATTCGACAAGTGATTATTGAGCAACCGTTACTGTCAGGCACCATTTTGGAACCTGGGTAAGCAAATATGGCCCTCCAGGCACATGCTTTCTAGAGCTGGCCTCTGTGGTCCTCTGGGCAGGCGACCCCTAAAATGACTCCCTCCAGAGATCTCAGTTTGGGGGCAGATATCAGAGGGCTCCTATCCCACCCTCTTCCTAGTGCAGGACTGTCCTCCATAATTTCCCTGCAAACTAGGTACTCAGCCTCCAGGCTCCCACTTCCATCATGGAGAACCTGCCCCTCAGGTGTGCTGTAAAGACCTCCAAGAAAACGCACACCTGTTCAGCAGACGTCACATAAACACACAAGCTCAGCAGAGCCTCTGAAGTCTGCACCCAGGAGGCTGGAACCAGCCTCTTGTATTTTGTTTGTTTGTTTTGTGTTGTTTCCCCTCCTTGATGTTGTACATTCGATTTTGTGTGCCAGATGTTCACACACTTGAAAAGCCATCCAGAGTAGAATGCAGAAGGAGGGGTGGCCTCGGTCCTGAGCAGGCAGGCAGGTGGGGTGGATCCTTGTCAGTCCTCTCGGTCCCACTCCCCATGCACCTTGCAAGGGGGTGGAAAGGAAAGCACTATTGCCATAGTGACCACAGAGCCCAGGCCATCACCGTGGGACCGTGATTGGAGCATTTAGTTTCATAAAATGAAGCAAACATTTGTTGAGCTTTCTCTGGGTGTGATGTGGTGCTAGACGCTGGGGATGCTGAGATGGATTGGTCCCTCACTATCATGGTATGCTGGTGACCCTCATCACATTGTGAAATTGTCTTATGTTTCTTCTACTAGAATAGGATACAGAGATTTTGCTCTCTGGTCCCTACCCCATCCCCGTGTCCTTAAGATTTACTATTGTGTCTTCAGGTGGTAGGTAATCA